AGGGGGTACCATCTCGGATTTCGGGCAATTTTTCGGAATGACCATTTTCGTTAGATTTTGGAGGCTACAGAACACGGATTCAGCCTGAGGCGAATTGTGGCTATTCTCCACTAATGACGAAGTCAATTAATCGCCGATTTGGGAGAATTTTTTCCAGGGGGCATTTTCCTAATTTTTTATGCGTTTTTTTGAAAGGCCATTTTCCTTGAATTTTGAAGGCTACGGATCAAGGATTCGGCGTGAGGCTATCCTTCACCAATGATTAAGTCTATTAAGCACCGATTTGGGTGTATTTGTTCTAGCTCCATTTTTGGCAAATTCCATAGGGGGTACCCTCACAGATTTCGTGTGATTTTTTGGAATGATCATTTTTGTTGAATTTTGGAGGTAACAGATCACGGTTTCGTCCTGAGGCGAACTGTGGCTATAATCCACTAATGACTAAGTCAATTAATCGCCGATTTGGTCGAATTTTTTCTTGAAGGCATTTTCATAAATTTTTGTGCGCTTTTTTCCAAAGGCCATATTTATTGGATTCTGAAGGCTACGGATCAAGGATTTAGCGTGAGGCTATCCTTCACCATTGATTAAGTCTATTAAGTACCTATTTGGGTTTATTTTTTGTGTCCATTTATGTCAGATTTCATATGATTTTTTGTTATGGCCATTTTTGTTGGATTTTTAGGCTACAGATAACGGATTCGTCCTGAGGTGAACACGAGCTATTCTCCATCGATGATGAAGTCAAGTAATAGCCGATTTGAGTGAACTTTTTCTCTGGGGCATTTATGTAGTTTTTCGTGCGCTTTTTTAGAAAAGCCATTTTCTTAGGATTTTGATTGCCGCGGATCAAGGATTCGGCGTGAGGCTATCCTTCACCGATGATTAAGTCTATTAAGCACCAATTTGGGTGTATTTGTTCTGGGACTATTTTTGGCATATTCCAAAGGGGTACCATTATAAATCTCGGGCGATTTTTTGGAATGACCATTTTCGTTGGATTTTGGAGGTTGCAGATCACGGATTCGGCCTGAGGCGAACGGGGCTATTCTCCACCGTTAACGAAGTCAATTAATCGCCAATTGGGGCGAATATTTTCTTGAGGCCATTTTAGTAATTTTTTGTGTGATTTTTTTGAAAGACCATATTCCGTGGATTTTGAAGGCTACGGATCAAAAGTTCAGTGTGAAGTTATCCTTCACCGATGATAAGCCTATTAAGCAACGATTTGAGCGTATTTGTTCTGGGTCTAATTTTGGCAGATTACAAAGGGGTACCATCACCGATTTCGGGTGATTTTTTGGAATGACCATTTTCTTGGATTTTTTAGGCTTCAGATCACTGATTCTAGCTGAGGCGAACTGAGGCTATTCTCCATTGATGACGAAGTCAATTAATCGCTGATTTGGCCGAATTTTTTCTGAGGACATTTTCGTAAATTTTTGTGTGCTTTTTTCGAAAGGCCATTATCCTTGGATTTTGAAGAATATAGATCAAGGATTCGGCGTGAGGCTATCCTTCACCGATGATTAAGTCTATTAACCACTGATTTGGGGGTATTTGTTCCGGGTCCATTTTTGGTAGATTCCAAAGGTACCATCACAGATATCAGGCGATTTTTTGGAATGATCATTTTTCGTTGGATTTTGGAGGATACAGATCACGCATTCGGCTTGAGGAAAACTGGGGCTATACTCCAATAATGATGAAGTCAATTAGTCGCTAATTTGGGCTAATTTTTTCCGGATGGCATTTTCATAATTTTTCGTGCCTTTTTTATAAAAGCCATATTCCTTGAATTTTGAAGGCTATGGATCAAGTATTCAGCATGAGGCTATCATTCACCGATGATTAAGTCTATTAACCGATTTGGGCGTACTTGTTCCGAGTCCGTTTTTGCATATTCCAACGTGGTACCACCATAGATTTTTGGCGATATTTTGGAATGACCATTTTTGTTGGATTTTGAAGGCTACATATCGCGAATTCGGCATGAGGCGAACATGGGCTATTCTCCACTAATGACGAAGTCAATTAATCACCGATTTGGGAGAGCTTTTTCTGAAGGGCATTTTTGTAATTTTTCGTGCGCTCTTCTTGAATTTAAATTTTAAAAGCTACGAATCAAGTATTTGGCGTGAGGCTATCCTTCACCGATGATTAAGTCTATTAAGCACTAATTTGCGGTTGAATGAGGTTTAACAAGAGAGGGTTAAAATGTCTTTTACCCTCCCATTTGAATGACCAAATTGCGGTTGAATGAGGTTTAACGGCAATGAGATTGGAAAACTAACGGAATAAGTATATTTGAGAATGGTTTGATTGTAGAAAGATATATTTGAGTTGATTCCTGCAAATAGAAATACTATCACCACCGTATTTCTATGAAAATAATGCGTAAATCATTCGCAGCGATATTTAGGGATGACAATGGGTCGGGTCGGGGACGGATAGTGCATATCCGTTACCCTACCCAAAGTAGTTCGGGTTTTACCCATGCCCATACCCACATTACGTAAGAGGAAAAGTACGACAATACTTCACGAGAATGAAGAAAATTAATGAAAACAACACAATTTCATGAAAATATTATATTTATATGATAAATATAAAATATGTTAGAGAAAAATAATGATTATTTCTAGACAAAATACATGTGCATGTGTATAATCGGGCGGGTTCGGGTTGGATAGTGTGAAACCCATGCCCACCCATTACCCGCAATATTCGGGTTCGGGTTTTACCCATACCCACTAAATGTCCTTCGGGTTCGGGTTTTACCCTACCCGATTAGGCCGGATTCGGGCGGATATCCACGATTACGGATATTTTTGCCATCCCTAGCGATATTGTTGATTAATTCCATTATTAATACTGTTTTTACCGGGAATGGATAAGGTCAGTAACCTTATGGTGAGTAACCATGAGTAACCCGTCCACATCAGCATGACATCAGCATCCTCTCTCTCATGGAAAGCCTTTAATTTTTCCCTTTTTAATCTTTGACGGATGATTTCTCGCTCATTTTAAGTCGAAATTTAATTTTTTTTGCACAGTTAGATCAGATTAATTGTGCTCTTCAAAATGATATTCACTTTAATATATTTTTCGAACAAAAAAAAGTTGAGTCATTTTTTACCAGCCTATACCATATGGTATTGACTGGTATTGAAATAAAAGCATACCTATGTTTTGAAAAACGTACCATGGTGGTATGAACAAACCAATACTGTAGGATGGTTGAATACATGATAGTAGAAGTATATTAATTATAATTTACGACTTTTAACATTGTATACCACACAATACCACCCCGTACCAGGGTGGCATTGTATGGTATTGTGTGGTATTTTTTGGTCCTGTAATTTGTTCACCCAGAAATTTGTAGATCCAATAGATCATGATGAACTCGTCCCTTCTGTGCAAACGTTTTCAAAAACGAATTAAAAACGAAGAAGATACCATACAATACCACCCCGTACCAGGGTGGTATTGTATGGTATTGTGTGGTATTTTTTGGTCCTGTAATTTGTTCACCCGGAAATTTGTAGATCCAGTAGTTCATGATGAACTGATCCCTGCTGTGCAAACGTTTTCAAAAACGAATTAAAAACGAAGAAGATACCATATGGTATGCAGTTGGTACCGAGAGGCCAGAAATTTTTTTTCCTAAAAAAATATTGAAAATTGATCTCATTTTGTAGAGCACGGTGAACTCGTTCCATCTGTGCAAAAAAAAAAAAAAATCCGATTTAAAACGAAAAAGATATGAGTCAATTAAGAAAGCTAGTGAAAATAAAAATAGTCTTTAATTCTCCATCCTTAGATCTGGATTTTCTAAATGAAGGGTCCAGATTTGGTTATTGATGGGTGCATAACCCATGGTTATGCACCCTATCTTGAGCCGTTTTTACCGACCCCAACTCCGGCTCAAGATAGGGTGCATAACCATGGGTTATGCACTCATCAATAACCAAATCTGGACCCTTCATTTAGAAAATCTAGATCTAAGGATGGAGAATTAAAGGCTATTTTTATTTTCACTAGCTTTCTTAATTGACTCATATCTTTTTCGTTTTAACTCGGATTTTAATTTTTTTTGCACAGATGGAACGAGTTCACCGTGCTCTACAAAATGAGATCAATTTTCAATATTTTTTTAGGGAAAAAAATTTCTAGCTTCTCGGTACCAACTACATACCATATGGTATCTTCTTCGTTTTTAATTCGTTTTTGAAAACGTTTGCACAGCAGGGATGAGTTCATCATGATCTACTGGATCTACAAATTTCTGGGTGAACAAATTACAGGACAAAAAAATACCACACAATACCATACAATACCACCCTGGTACGGGGTGGTATTGTATGGTATTTTCTTCGTTTTAATTCGTTTTTGAAAACGTTTGCACAGGAGGGACGAGTTCATCATGATCTATTGGATCTACAAATTTCTGGGTGAACAAATTACATGACCAAAAAATACCACACAATACCATACAATGCCACGCTGGTACGGGGTGGTATTGTGTGGTATACAATGTTAAAAGTCGTAAACTACAATTAATATACTTCTACTATCATGTATTCAACCATCCTACAGTATTGGTTTGTTCATACCATCATGGTACGTTTTTCAAAACATAGGTATGCTTTTATTTCAATACCAGTCAATACCATATGGTATAGGCTGGTGAAAAATGACTCAATTTTTTTTTGTTCGAAAAATATATTAAAGTGGATATCATTTTGAAGAGCACAATTAATTTGATCTAACTGTGCAAAAAAAATTAAATTTCGACTTAAAATGAGCGAGAAATCGTCCGTCAAAGATTAAAGAGGGAAAAATTAAAGGCTTTCCATGAGAGAGAGGATGCTGATGTCATGCTGATGTGGACGGGTTACTCATGGTTACTCACCATAAGGTTACTGACCTGATCCATTCCCCCAACTCCCCCGAACAATCCGATTTTTCCACCGCGAGGATAAGTTAATAATTATAAGCGAAATCACAAACAACTCCAGCCAAAGCACTACTAATAATAGTTGAATACAATTGAACTATCATTATAAAAGAAGAACATACATGATACTCAATTGATCTTAAATCCTCAACAAGTCCTCTTTTCGGATTCTAATTAAGCGTTGTGAGGAAATAGACGAACAGGGAGGCCGTTGGCCGGCACGGCTATCGGATTCACGACGATCTTCTCGTCGGGAATCAACTTCTCGAACTTGAATCGCTTCACCAAGTTGTGCATGAACACCAGAATCTCGAGCCGGGCATATTCCTTCCCGGGGCACATCCTCGGGCCTCCTCCGAACGGGACAAACGTGTATGGAGCAGGCCCGCGGCCTTCGAATCTGCTGGGATCGAACTTCTCCGGTTCGGGGAAGTACTTCTCCGTTTTGTGCGTCGACGGTACACTCCAGTACAACTGCATGTACACACATAATAATAATATGTGAATTGATTGTTAGAGACGCGAAAAACGACGTACGATATAAGATCTATTTTTGAACCTCTCCCTGATAACACGATTCGAATTATACCGTACCTTCCAGCCCTTGGGGATGGAGAAGCCGTTGAAGACGAAGTCGGTCGTGGCTTCCCTAAACGTGCCTTGCAAGGGAGGGACGAGCCTTAGCACTTCGCAGGCCACGTTCCATGAGTATTTCATCTTTTGGATGTCTTCCCAGTTTAGCATTTCCCCTGTCGCTGCTTTGCATCTCGCTATCTGCATTTGCTCTGCTCAATATAATATTGCATTCATTCATCGAATTTGTTAGGGTTGGGCGGGCTGGGATGTGACGCGCTATCTGGATAATGAATTAATTCGAGTTTGAGATATTGCTGCTGTTACGTTATACTCTGACTACAAGTGGATAACTCTTAGACTCTAATAATTCTCTGGATGCAAATCTCGTCAAAGAAACTTAATTAAAGATGATAGTGGACGATGATGATCATTAGTTAGGAGTACCATATACTTCAGAAACTTAATTAAATCATTAGTTGTTATACTCTGACTGTATATGTCTTTTGCTTGGATACTAATTAGATATAGTATTTAGATATGTACCAAATACATGGTATGAATTTCAAATATACATATCGTGTATTATTTGTGAATTTAAAATACAAATCAACAACCGGAGGTTTGGAATTCCTCATAGCAATAAAAAAGAATTCTTTTTATGATTTCAAAAGTTTAGATATTATATTACGAGACAAAGACCATTAAGGTACTAAACGTCTTTAAAAAAAATTAATCTCAAAGTATTCGAAATTATTTTACTTTGGATATTCTGCATTGGCGGATACACCAACCAATGTTGTTATCATTTTTCTTTGTAGCTATTTTATGATTAAATACAGTATTTGAGGAGGCGGTTAGCCGGCCAAAAGACCGTAAGCTTGGCCGGCCGTCATTTTGAGATAAACTAATCAACTTTGCATGCATCAACTCCGATAGGGAAAGCAATCTCGATCGTCGTCGTCATTCATAAACAATTAATTAATTATTTAATTAGAGAGACAAAATTAAAACTCGTCACCTTCGTAAACTCGGTCGTAAATCCGAGGAAACTCCGACAGGAACTTAACGACGAAAGAACACGTGGAGCTGGCCGTGTCGTGGCCGCCGATGAGAAGCCCCAGTATCTTGTCGGCAATGTCCCTCTCGCTCATACGCTCGCCGTTGTCGTCGGTGGCCATCAGCATGAACGACAATATATCCTGCGTTTTGGCCACGTCAGCATTCTTCCCGTCCGCCAGCTCGGATTTCCTCTGCCTAATAATCCCCGTCAGAAACTCCTCCCTTATATACGTGGACGCCCTGATCGCCCGCCTGAACGCCGTGAAGGGCAGATCCAACGGCAGCCCGAAAATACCTGTCACAGAAAAAGAAAATGAAATGAGTGTCAGTGTTGTGGTATATGATCCACGATTGAACCTCTCCCAACAACTCGAGTTATTGGGATCAACTGGTTCATGACAATGAGAACTTAAAAACTTGAGTTATTGACGTTTATTCGTAGGATATGTGTCACGACTGTTTTCTGTGAATCGGGAAATAGGAGAATTCGACGATGTAAAGAAAACGAAAGCATGAACACACGCGATTTACGTGGTTTACTAACACAATGTGTGTTAGCTAATACACGTGCAGGAGATAGCCAGTTTCACTGTATTTGATACGATACAGATTACAGAGAATTGTATGAGAAAGTATTTATAATCGTAACGGCTGATAGTACGATTCAAGTCATATATCAACAATATGGCATCAAAATTTTAGGGCGAGAGGTTGTGATTTTCAAATTCTTTTGACGAACTCCGATAACAACAACGATTTAGCGTAAGAGATGATATATATAGAATTTCATTGCGGGGGTGTTAGAGAAGGGGGGAATAACAATTGTTTCTCAGCAACTCGAATTATCGAAACTGAGTGATTTTGTTCGTTAACATACCCGTCGCCACGTCCTTAAACGGGACCACAAACTCCGCGATCCGCTCCGGATCGTCCAAGCTGAGGAACAGTCGGCACGCCACCCAGAACGTGTAGTTCTTCGCCAGCGGGAACACCTCCACCGCGTCGCGACCCTCCCACGAGGAAGCGAAGTGGCGGCGCGCCACGTCATCCATGACGCCGACGTACCTGTTAAAAAAAAACGACATATAAAAAAAAATTCATACAAAAACTCTCTTTTTTCCAAACAACTTTCGAGTTATTGTGACCGACTGGTTTGTCCACGCGCTAACAGTACTAACCGCTGGAGGGCCTCCGGCTTCATGAACTGCGGGAGGAGCCTCCGCATCCGGCGGGACTCCTCCGCCACGGAGCTGGTCTCCGTGAACGGGAAGATCTTGTTCACGGAGTCCGGCCACCACGCGACGAAGAGCTTGTTCTCGTTGGTGAAGACGAACTTGTTGCCCTCGGCGCCGGAGAGGACGGCGGTGGGCTTGCCGACGATGTGGGTCTTGAACACGTTGGAGGAGAATTCCCGGACCCGGTCGAGGACGAAGTTCTCCGGCCGGCCCTTCCATCCGGTGGAGAGGAAGTCTAGGGTTTCGCCGACGTAAGGAAGCCCCCGCCGGCCCGGCGGCAGGTTGACGTGGCGGTGGTACTGAGATTTGTGTTTGTAGAAGATGGTTGCGACGGCGAGGGAGATTAAGGAGAGGAAGAGGAGAAGAAGGTTGAGGTACAAGCTAGAATAGTAATGATGATGATATTGCTCCATGTTAATTAATATCTAATCTTGTTGATAATAGTAGGAGTATTGTGTATTATATAGGGAAACTATAGGATTAGGAAGTGTTGTTGTAAGTTTTTTTTTTTTTTTTGTGCCAAAATGGAAGTGTATTTTACTCTTTGTTTCGTTTCTGATTAGTGTCTTTTGGATATTCGAAATGCATATGTTGCATTTTGTAAAGGTTAAGGACATATAGGAGTAATCGACATGGATCCAAATGGACGTAGTTGAAGTGTGTATATGAGTTAAGAATTGCCGATTGATGTAATTGACGTGTGGAATTTTGGCTGGTTTTTTAAAACTATATAGCTATAGCTGGTAGCCATGTTAATTACCCTGCTCCAAATAATATGTTGACTTTCATGGAATATAAAAGGGTAAATTGCAAGTTGATGAGATACAGTTTGTGCTTATAATTGTCATGAACCAGTTGATCCCAATAACTCGAGTTGTTGGGAGAGGTTCAATCGTGTATCATATACCACAACACTAACACGCCCCCTCAAACGAAAGCCACTCACAAGGGCTTGAAGTTTGCACAGGTCTAAAGACAAGAATACCATGTGCTTAACAAATGGGGGTCACCGGGAATCGAACACAAGACCTCTCGGTAACAAAAGGCGTCTAAAGACAAGAATACCGTGTGCTTAACAAATGGGGGTCACCGGGAATCGAACACAAGACCTCTCGGTAACAAAAGGCTCTGATACCATGTCAAGAACCAGTTGGTCCCAATAACTCAAGTTGTTGGGAGAAGGTTCTGCTAGATCTTATACCACTCTCTAACACGCCTCCTCAAACGAAAGCCAACCCATGGGCTTGAAGTTTGCACAGACCCACCATACCATGTCACGAACCAGTTGCTCCTAATAACTCGAGTTGTTGGGAGAGGTTCAATCGTGGATCATATACCACAACACTAACAATAATGTGCACATAATAGTCATTACTAATGGATTAGTTAATGTTTAGGGTTAGTTAATTAGTAGCTTGCATGGGCCAAGGTTAGCACGTAGTTTGTAGGGCTAGTGGCGGATTGGGAATCCTCTAGGTTAGGTGGCCGAGTTTAGCTAGGTAAGTTAGTAGAGTTCAGGTTAGCTAGGGTTACGTATTAGGTTTAGACGTCTATATATTGTAATCACGGCATTAGTCCGATTTATTAATTAATCAATAAACAAAAAAAGGTTTCCGACACTTACGTCGTGTTCTCGCTTGTGAGATACAAGCAAAACCCTTGAATCGTGGGCGACGATTCATCACAAGTTTAATTAGTGGGTTTACTAAATTTGTTTATCGCTAAAAATATTTTATTTTATTCGTGATCACTAACTTTATATTCTCATTTCATCATTGGTCACTTTCTATGTGACGATTAACTCTCACATTTGACCGTTAAATTAGTAATTTGTCAATTAAAAATTAATCAAAAATAAATTTACGTATTTAATGTTTTCCAACTCACAACTACAATTACTAAAAAGAATAGATGTTTAAAATTATCCTTCACGCATATACCTCTCGCAAAAAGCGAAAATCCGGCCGCCTCCAATAGGGATGGTAACAAAACCCGAACCCACGGATACCCACCCGACCCAACCCGATCAACGCGGATAAAACCACCGCAAGGTCTCTCCTTTGCAGAAATCTCGTCGTCCCTCTCTTGCATCACTTTCCTAACCGTCATCTTCCACACTTTTTTTCTTCTTTTACAGAAGCTGGCTTGACATTCAAGGACAAGCAATTCATAATTATAGTATACAATTAACAATTGCAATGATAGATTGATCTGGATGCTCTTCTGTTTTTATCGAATTTTTTCTCGTAGTTTTAACCAGTCTGACTCGCTGATCAAGGAACGATAGGCATATGCCATAAACCATGAACGATTCCAGTGTACAACCTTGTTGTGCATAACCTGTCACATTACCATTTATTGGAAGTCTCTAATCTTTTTTCTATAAATTTTAATGGGTTATTTCTCTTTCATTTTAAGTCTTAATTTATTTTTGCACTAATAAATCAAACTAATTGTGATTTTCAAAATTATATCCACTTTGATACATTTCGGAATAAAAAATATTCAAACATTTATTATCAGTATATTCCATGGTGGTAATGTTTGGTATTACATAAGATCATACAACGTGGTATGAAAGTGTACCATAGTAGTATAAACATAGAATGGTTGACTATATGATAATAGGAATATACAAACACCCATTTATCACATTCATCATTGTTTACCACCTTCTACCAAAAAAAAATCATTATTTACCACCAATTACCACCATTATACCAGGATGGTCTGGACTGGTATATTTCGGCCCTTTACTTTCGCCCCACTCCCACCCCACCCCACCCAAAAAAAAATTGTAGATTCAATAGATCACGATAAACTCATTCCTTCAGTGCAAAAAATTTCAAAATTCAAGTAAAAAAAAAGGTTATACTAGGCGGTAACGAGTGATATGGATTTTTTTCTTTCAAAATATATTGAAAATGGAACTCAATTTGTAGATCTTAACGGACTTGTTCTATTTACAAAAAAAAAATTGAAATTCAAATTAGAACGAATAAGTAAGAGTCGATTAAGAAAACTAGAGAATACAAAGTCATTAATTTTCACCCCATTCAAAACTAAGGAACCAGATCTTATGCAATCACCTTCTATCTACAATCTTATCAAGTTTTGTGGTCCATTTGGTGTACGAATTTTTTTACAAACCTGTCTGCAATTCCATCGCTACAAGGAAAGACGACATTTTCACGATTATCGCCACCCAGTATTATACAACCATTTGGTACCACAATCCGATACATAGAATGGAAAAAGAAAAAAAAAAAACATAATGCTAATACACAATCAAGGAATCATAATATGCATTAGTGGCTGTCGAACTTGTTTCGATGTGCTCAACTAGTTCCAACCTTGAGGGGAAAGAAACCATGTCAATCACTCCCCGTCGATCAAACTGCATCAAATGCCAACATTCGACGCAAACTAGAAAACACAGAATCTCTCATTGACTGGCGATATTCACACAAAGAAACCAGGCATGAGATATCGCAAACAGACGCACTCTCGCGTTCCTGCGTTCAGACTTTTAATCTATAATCTAGAATTAAAATATGAACTCGAGCATTAAAGAAACGAGAAACCTAACGTTCATGCTCGCTGATTCCCTACAACAATACAATCATAAAGCCTCGCACGGGGTTTGTATACGATACACGGTAACAATACAACAGATGCCAGGCGCCACGAGCTGCTAAAGTTCACGTACGATTATGTGACAGACTGCAAAATGGCGCGAGAGGAGAGAGCAGTAAGTTTAGTACCAGTGAGAACGTACACCATGTGCATGGTATTAACCCTCTCCTAGTTTTTTATGGAGCAAAATCCCTGAATGTCTCAACGAGGTTTGACATAGAGAACCGGGACCAAACCAGCCAGCTTGCCATCCCTTCCAGGACGCTTCTTCTTTACCTGCACATTATATGTAATGTAGAGTTGTTCAAAAACATGTTGATATACCAACACCCTAATTCTTTTACCCACTCAAGAGTGCACAGCGTTCTAATACTTACATAGAACCACCCATCAACCTCATACTCTATTTCGACCTCTTCCCCGGATGTTAAACTCAACTGCGAAAGAAACCATGTGAAGCCAAATGAGACGACTTCAAAGAGAAACACCTCACAGTTTCTGGTGAGGTCACAATGGATATGGCATTCTAAACGACAGACAACCCATTAGTAATCATTCAGTAACTACCTCATCATCTCCGCCTGCAGTAAAGTCATATAGGGCCGACCCAAATTGAGGGTTTCCAGAGGTGTTGCGGCGGCTTTCATCCTCAGACTCAAAACTGGATGATTCAGGTGCAGCCATGGGGTTTTCAAACGAATCGTGTCTTTGCATGACTGAAGATGCATATGATGGCGGTTCTTCTCTAATCTGATAAAAGCAAAACAGGTTAGAATCCCCCGCAAATCATTTGCAAGGTGCAAAATAAAGTCAATCGAGAGGAACCCAGAAACCCCTTACTGGAGAACTTGCACCCTCATAAATAGATGAGGAGCTGCCATATCTGTTGCCACCTGATCTCTCCTATAAGAAAAAGCAATAAACCCACCCAGATTTAGTGCCCAATTTGAGGGCCTTGATGCTCTCCACGACATCGACAGTTAAAAGTATGAAAGTAAATTAAGGAATTGGGAGACATCACTTTAGCTATATATTTTACTAGCATGGAATCTCTGGGAAACTGTTTATGCTCAAAGTAAAGATTCTTCTAAGCCGGGCAAGGCCAAATTTCCCAGAAACCAAATTTGCTACAGTATATGGAAGGAAGATCTCAAGTAACACCTTAACTTAACGAGTTTGCTAACTCTGTTATGGATGCAAAAGCCCACAATAAACAACAAACAAGGCAGTCTGATTTAAAACCACTCTTAAAGTTTCATTTCCTTTTTTTCCCTTGGCTGGCAAAATTCACTACTGCTTTTATAAAAGAAGAGTGGACAAATTCGCTTCACAAACAACATACCGAGGTTTGTGATGTCCCGTAACTGGTTGGCTTTGAACTGAAAAGTGAAGGATAGTTCATTCCACCAAAGTGTGACGAAATTGAGGTTTCAACCGACCCTATTGAATCAGGGGAAGAGGAACCTGATGACCTAGCATCTTCTTCCTGCAAATTGAAATATCAACATTAACAATTCACGTCATTACTCTACAAATTAGGAACTTTTATGCATCCAAGTGAGGTGAGAATTATTATATACTCATAGAATTGTACCTCTAGTTCTGATGATTCTAGGAGTGTCTTTGCCCACATATCATCATAGCCAACTGAAGGTCTAGAAACAATATTCTCTTCATCCACATCAGGGGCATCCGTACCCATCCCAGCGAGAAATTCATTTACCTATCATAAGGCAGAACCGGAAACTTGCACAAATCAGAATATAAAGAAGCAAAC